ACATAAAAACCTATCATTTGAAACCTCTCCCTTTCATTTGGGGGATGCAGTCTCTGAAGAAACCAAAAATATTAGCATCGGTAAATGACCTAAATCATGTTCCCAGAGTGAAGGGAATCAGAGGCAGCTGTCTCATCCTGCCTGGCCGCTAAGGAAACGTGTGCGTGATGTTGACTGCCCCAACATAATTACACAAAATGAAGGCTGCTCGGGAAAGAACCGCTGTGGTAAGATGAGTAGAGGGGACTGATGCTGCTGAGGCCCAAGGTTAAATGCTGGGGCATAAAGAGATGGAACCAAGGGAAATCTTTCAGCACGACAATTTGGGACGTAATGGCACCCAGAGTCGTGTTCTGCAGATGTACAGCAAGCACTTGGCTGCATTATTCCATCCAGGGTTCCCATTTTCTCTTGTCAAGAGGTCTTTGACTGAAGACACAATTGTCTTCCAAAGAAAGGCTGAAATGCCATGTGAATGACTCGAGTGATAGCCTGTAGCATCTTGGATGCTCAAGAAAAAGTAATGCTAATGGATTTGTACACTAAATAACATAAAGAGGGAGGGGGGAGAGCCCCTCCACCCGCCCCCGCCCCAAGGCACTGCAACAGCGCATCCCAGAGCCTTCTTCTGAGGCACTAGTAAGGAACTAAGGCTTTGGTAAAAACCTTCCTCCCCTCGATGCAGACAAAGGACGCCTGGGGTCCTGGGAGTCCAGACCTGACTCTGCCTTCCCCTTCACATTCTGAAATCCTCAAAGAACTTGTAGCAGCTCTTCCCTCACAAATCTGGGGCACGTAGCTCCCCGGCCAGCCTCCCACAAACAACGACTCTGACCCAGACCTGGTGCAGGCCTCCCCTCTCAGGTAGCAAAGCATCCTGGGAGATTCCCAGCCTGCCTGGCAAAATGGTCCAGCCCTTCCCAGAAGTTTATAAGCACTAGAAGTTTCGAGGGAGCACTGTTATGGGATAACAAGGTGAGAGAAATATAGAACACGAGCACAGAAAAGGACCTCTGGGCCCACCAGATCCAACACTCTCTTTTTACAAAAAAGAACTCTGAGAAACAGAGAGGGTAAGCAACTCTATGAGGTTACATTATCAATTCATGTCAAGCTGTGTAATTCCACTCCTTTCCCTTGCGGAAGGTGGAGTCCACTGCAGGGAAAAAAAATGAAAGAGCATCACTCAAGAATCCCATCTCTAATATGTCTGGCTCTGGGGATGAGACAGGACAGGGAGACCTAAGGTTTTTATATTCTAATATTTTAGGTAACCATGACCTAGAAACCGCATCTCAGGAGTCCCTTCTGAAGACAACCATAGCCTTCACTGCAGGTTAGTTTGCCCTTGTCTGTGGATGTCAGCAATGGAGCATTGGATAATGGCATTTGGAGATTGTATAGCCCATCCCTCTTTACACAAATGAGGAAACTGAGCCCTGAGAGCAGATGAGATTCCCCAAGGTCACAGAGCTCATCCTACGCTAGTGTTCCAATCCCACTGAAGGGCACCACTCACCCTCCCTCCAGATGAAGGAACCAGACACCGAGGAAACACCCTCAAGATGCACCATTGCCACCCATCCCCCCAACCTGATCCAATCTGTCCCCAGTCTGTCACCTCCAGTGTCCTCTCCATTCCCTCTGCCACTAGCCTAGAGCAGGCTGTCATTATCATTTGCTCAACCCCTAAGTGTTCTCAAGCATCCACCCGTGACCCCTGGCCCCAGGCATTCTCAAGGCCACAGCTAGAGCGATCATTTCAAAACCGAATTCGATCACGTTGACCACCCTGTTTAAACCCTTCAGTGACCCTAGAGGTAAACCTCAAATCTTGATTTCTACAAAGCCCACCTGGCCTGGCCCCCGGGCGTGTCCGTGAACCACACCCCACACTAACTCTCCTGTTCAAGCCACAGAGACTGACCTTCTTTCCATCCTCCAAATATTATCCACCGTGTTCCCTTCTGCCCCAGGGCTTCTTGGTGAATGCTGTTCCCTCTCTGGAAAGTTCTTCCACTCCTCATTTAATTCTCTTTCAGGTTTTGGCTTGTGCCTTTCCTCAGGGAAGGCTTCTCTGACCCCCAACCCTCCTATGCGTCATGCTTTCATGGTAAATCTTCTTTCCTTTAGGATGTTTATCCCAGTTTATAATCATATGCTTCTCAGTGTGAGGAACATAGTCTATTTCCTCAGACAATAAGGATGAAGTCTGCTTAGTCTCACTGCTCTTACCCAGCACCTAGCGTAGTGCCAGACACTAGGCACATATTCAGTGATTTGCACCTGTATGACCAGAACAGTCGTGAAAATATTCAAATGTTTCTGTATCCAGTGGTAATTAACTACTGCCCCAAACCTCCCACGCGCTCCATGGTATTCTAGCCATATCCCCTCCCCTGGACCTTTCAGACCACGCTATAACCCAGCGACTAAAGGAGTAATGTCTGGCACAGCCCTCGGATAATAATGGCTAAATATTTTGAATATCACTCCAGCCTGCAGATGGTAGGCACTTAATAATTATGGAGTGACTAAAAGAATAATGGTAGGGCTTCCCCGGTGGCGCAGTGGATAAGAATCTGCCTGCCAATGCAGGGGACACGGGTACGAGCCCTGGTCTGGGAAGATCCCACATGCCGTGGAGCAACTAAGCCCGTGCGCCACAACTACTGAGCCTGCACTCTAGAGCCCGTGAGCCACAACCACTGAAGCCCACGCGCCTAGAGCCCATGCTCTCCAACAAGAGAAGCCACTGCAATGAGAAGCCCAAGCATCGCAGTGAAGAGCAGCCCCCGCTCACCACAACTAGACAAAGCCCACGCACAGCAATAGACCCAACACAGCCAAAGATAAATAAAAATAAATTAATTTAAAAAAAAAAAGGGACTTCCCTGTTGGCACAGTGGCTAAGACTCCGCGCTTCCAATACAGGGGGCCCGGCTTCGATCCCTGGTCAGGGAACTAGATCCCACATGCGTGCCGCAACTAAGCATTCACATGCCGCAACTAAGCGTTCACATGCCACAACTAAGGAGCTGGTGAGCCGCAACTAAAGAGCTCACATGCTGTAACTAATGAGCCGGCGATCCACAACTAAGGATCCCGCCTGCCGCAACTAAGACCCAGTGCAACCAAATAAATAAATAAATAATTTTTAAAAAAAAGAAGAAGAATGGTAGAACTAGCATTCTAACCTTGATCTATCAGCTCCCTGTTAATTATTCTTTCTGCTTTGTCCTGCTGTTCCCACCCCGCCCCCAGCTGGCATAAAGTGCTTTCTCTGGCACTCTGCAGGGCGGCAGAGTCAGGTTCATGCTTGGGTCTTTATGAGCACCTTCACTCCCCACTTCATGGCTTCACAAGCACTGCAGCAGTGACTGCCTTGACACGGAAATCTGCAGCACGTGGTTGCCACCAGGAGCAGAGGCAGGTGGGTACACTTGCCAAAACTCTCTAGGGAATTTCTGTCAGCAGAAGCCACGTACGTGGCTCTGGAAAATCCATTCACCCTTCCAAAGGGGTGAGACTTCCTGGGTGTTTGCTCTTAACCAGCCAGTCTTTCCTCTGGAGGAGCAAAGGGAAATCTTTCTTCCATTAAAGAAGATATTCAGGGCTTCCCTGGTGGCGCAGTGGTTGAGAGTCCGCCTGCCGATGCAGGGGACACGGGTTCATGCCCCGGTCCGGGAAGATCCCATATGCCGCGGAGCGGCTGCGCCCGTGAGCCATGGCCGCTGAGCCTGCGCGTCCGGAGCCTGTGCTCCACAACGGGAGAGGCCACAACAGTGAGAGGCCCGCGTAAAGCAAAAAAATAAAATAATAAAATAAAATAAAATAAAATAAAATAAAATAAAATAAAAAAAGAAGATACTCAATTGCAACCATTTTTGATTCTTGGGCCACTGTCACCATGGTTGGGCTCCCTAACTTCTGGACATTGAAAAAGTGGTTCCTTTCTTAATTTCAGTTTTTCCAAAAGTAGACCCTGAGGAAAATATTTGGGTATAAGCAGCTTATTTGAGAGATGAGTCAGGAAAGTTCTCTGAGCGGGGAGGACATGAGCCCAGTAAAGGGTGTGCCAGTGAGGAGGGGACTTCCGTGGGAGACGGGTACTCCACGTCCCGGCAGAGCCCGGCAGACGGTGCAGCGTGCTTCTGAATATTCCGTCAGACAGGCAAGTGAGCTGGGGTTTTTATTCACCAATTCGCATCCCTCATTGGTTGAGGGTCCCTCTGGGACATTCATCCTCTGGCACCTCCTGCTCGCCCTGTGATCTGGTCAAGCAGTCAGGAGGCCAGAAGAGACCTCAGGCCAAGAGACCCACAAAGCCACTAGACTGTTTGGGAACTGTCTGCAGGTGGCCTCACCGGGGTCAAGGGATGTGTGCAGGGGACCTCAGGAGCATCCTCTACAGTGTTCAAGTGCCTTCGAGGGGAAAGCCCCTGGGGACCACTAAGGAAGATGCATTTTGAGTGGCGGTACGGCAGGAAGAGCTTTGGTTTCAGAATGCAAGTCCTGGGCTTGATTCTCCTCTCTGCCACTTAACAGCTGGGCCACTGGTCTAGTTAACCACTCTGAACCTTACTTTTTTTAAAAATCTGTAAAGATGGGCTTCCCTGGTGGCGCAGTGGTTGAGAGTCCGCCTGCCGATGCAGGGGACACGGGTTCGTGCCCCGGCCCGGGAAGAGCCAAATGCCGCGGAGCGGCTGGGCCCGTGAGCCATGGCCGCTGAGCCTGCGCGTCCGGAGCCTGTGCTCTGCAACGGGAGAGGCCACAACAGTGAGAGGCCCACGTACCGCAAAAAATAAATAAATAAATCTGTAAAGATTATAGTAAAGATTAAATTGAGTGCTGTATATAAAGTGATTGGTACAGTGCTGGGAACAAAGAAAGTATAGTGCTGGGCACATTACTTGTGACAATTAGCATAATAATAATAATCACTATTAAAATGAAATAAGTCATTTGTTCTTAGGATTTTCATGATCTAGAAGGCTCACCAGACTGAGGGTCCAGGAAGAATGATGTCTTCTCGAGTTTAACTGTTGGTTTTCTTTAATTCACTCATGCATCTGTTTGTTCATTTTACAAATATTTTTGAGCATGTCCTTCAATGACCTCATCAGCAAAAAGGAAGGTTGGCAATACTGGTGCAATGGTTCTTTCCCGGGTGCTTTCTAGCATTTACCATCTTTCAATCTTCAACTGTTCTCTGCAGGAAGAGAGCTTAGTTTAATGAAAAAAGAATATTATAATGACATAATGGTTTAAATATTGATACCTACTGACTACATGACTTTAAGTTACTTCGCTCTTCTATACTTCATCTGTGAAATGGGCATAATGATACCCACCTTGCAGTAATACTAACAAGAGATGGCATTCTAGAAATCTCTTACAGTGTCAGGCATATGATAGGAAGGTGACATTGGTGGTTCTTTCCCATCATCTCTGGGGTACGCGTGGTTCAATAGATAAATGTTAAGTGGTGTTGAGAGGGTAAGCATTTCAGATCTCTGTGTAAAGGTGAAAATGACCCCGCAGGCCACACGTGCAGCTGAACTCATCAGCAACACGTCTACGTCATATAAAAGGACACACGCTGCCAGACTGGGACACCCAGGACAGACTCTGATTCAGCCGGTCATGCCCTCACTCCCAACACAGTGCCTGCACAGAGTAGGGACTCTGTCAATATTTGTTGATAAATAAGTGAAACAAATCCAGCCTGCTTTTCTGAACAACAGCACAACCAAAAACAAGGTGACAAACAAACAAACAAAAACACTTCCAAAAAGACACCATGGACAAAACTAAGGTCCTTAAGGATAAGTACAGAGGCATTTCTTGGTACCCAGTGAGAAGCCTGCTTGGTCGAATTACATTCCAGGTAAATGGAATAAAATGTCTCCCAGGCCCAGGATCTATCTGCACTAAAGATACAGACCACTGGACTCAAAGGCCCTGTTCTGAAGAGAACCACTTAATCATTTAGAATACACAATGTTTAGCCTAAAAGGCACAAATAGCGAGTACAAGTGGCAGAAAACTGCAGGGCAACTCCTACTCAAGTGTGGTTGACCCAGCAGTGCGGGCATCAGCTGAGAGCTTGTTCAGAAAAGCAGGGTTTCAAGCCCCGCCCCAGACCTGCTGGAGCAGAATCTGCATTTTATAAGCTGCCCACATGGTTCTCAAGTTAGTGCCATGTTGGCTGCATATCATCTGGGGAGTTTTTTTAAAAAACTGACACCTGGATTCCACCCCTAAGATGCTGGTTGTTTGGTGTGGGATGCAGCTTGGACAAAGTGATTATTAAATTATTATTTAATTTTATTTATTTAATTTTATTATTAATTATTTAATAATTATTAAATTATTGTTATTATAATGCCTGGGGAATGCAGCTCCATTTGAGAGACCTGCCTAGACCTTCATGGGGCAGCCAAGGCAGGGAAAGGACTTATGTTTCCACGTGGAAAATTAGTTTCCTGAGTTCTTCATGGTACCTCCTATCTGGCCATTGGGAAGGAAGCTCTAATGTCATCTGAGAGCCAGGCGCACCCAGGCCAGGCCTCCACCTCGTGAGAGAAGGAAGTATTAAGGCCCAGTCCAGGCTTCCCTTCCCTGCTTTCATGTGTCCACCACTGCAGGGCCCTACAACCATCACCACAGCTCGTACATCTGGTTCCTTTCCTTGGAAACGTCTCCCCTTCTCATTGCTTCCCTCCCCTTGGGGACAGCTTTCCTGATTCCTGCCCAGAAGAATGACCCGGGGCCAGCAGGATCTAGCCCGGGAACGTCCCCACAGTCTCCTCTCCGGTCCAGACCTCCAGGTGGGGCTTGAAGTGATTACATCAGCCGTGGCCCGGGCAGCCCGTTCATCAGAAACGTTCCAATCCTCCCAGGAATCTGCCTGGGATAAGTACAAGGTTCTGGCTAATTTTAAATGTAGTTAAAAGATTTTCTTTCTTTCAAGGCATGCTCACTTTCCATCACCCCCCTTCTTAGAATACAGTTCCTCTGAGGTCTTCTCTTTTTATTTTCCAAATTTTTCCCCCCAAATGAGAACACTTACAACAGATGCAAAGTCTTTGCTTATTTGGCCTCGTTTATCAGTAGACAGTATTTTTACAATGTAGAAAGGTTTTTAATGGGATGTGGAAAATGTCTTTTCTCCCCAACCACTAATAATTTAAAAAAAAATCCCTTTTTTTATTTTCTTCAAATTGCTTTTTATAACCCATTCGGCATTTTCAGGGATATAATTAAAACATCAAACAGTTTTCCTGCTGGTTATGCTAAAATTTGAATACTTGAGGCAGCCACTATTATTAGATATTAAAATGGACTTGAGTATTTATTAAAAAGATCCTCTTAAGTAACTATTCATTTGGGTTTGCTCTGTTTAATATAAAGACAAGCCCCATAATGTGAAAATACCTGTTCCTAATAAAGTCCGTAATTGGTAGCAGGAGGGTATTTTTAAAAAATATAAAATATGTATTTTGTTCACTATTTTTCCAGCTTAATGTGACTAATTTCCCCATTCAACTTTATCCCTAAGGAAAACTATTGAAAGAAAGGCCATTACCAATACATGAAGCTCAGTAGTTTGCTTTCGTGGGATGTAATTGCTATCAAGAAGGCGAGTAGGGCTTCCCTGGTGGCGCAGTGGTTGAGAGTCCGCCTGCCGATGCAGGGGACGCGGGTTCATGCCCTGGTCCGGGAAGATCCCACATGCCGCGGAGCGTCTGGGCCCGTGAGCCATGGCCACTGAGCCTGCGCGTCCCGAGCCTGTGCTCCGCAACGGGAGAGGCCACAGCAGTGAGAGGCCTGCGTACCGCAAAAAAAAAAAAAAAAAAAAAGAAGGCGAGTAGCTGGGTAATTTTGGTTTAAATGAGTACATAGCCTGAAAAAGGATAAATTAACCTCTGTAGAACAGAAATTAGATTCCAGCGAGGGATTGTTCTAATTCAATGCACACTGAGTCCGGGGCTAGGGAATATGTTGTCCAGGAGCAAAGGCAGCGAGATGCTGGATGCCAGATCAATGGTACAGGAAGGACACGGTAGGCAACTCGGGGAGGAAAGGCTAGGGCAGAAATGGAAACCAAGACTGTTTGTCTCTCTGGCTTTTCCAGGAGTTTGTAGAAATTTCTAGATAAATAGAGTTTTCCCTTCTCATGCAATCCCAGTGGGCTTCTCGGAGACTAAAGTGATCAGGTCAATTCATTAGACACGCTGTTATTGCCAGCATATAACATGACAATGCCGTGTCTGCTCCACAAAGAATAGTGGCGGGATGAATGTGTGAAGACCATGTGAGAATTGGCCCTCATCTCCCTGAGGCTGATTAACAAAAGTGAGACTGGTGAGCAAATCTAGACTCCGAGATGGTGGGTTAAGTGCCTTTCAAATGGCACAGACATGAGGAGCTCAGAGCAGAGTCATTGCTTTGGGTTCAGGACAAGATGGAAGTCTTCTCAGCTGAGATGGCATAAAGCTGGACCTTGAAAAACATGTCAGCTAGAGAAATCCTGTCCTGGTAAGTCTTCAACCTTCTAGAAATGCCTGTAACACTAGAGGGTGTCGAAACTCCTAAAATCTCATACCTGTGACTGACTACATGAACTCATACCACTGAGTTCAGTCCTTGCTTTCTTTGTGGGATGGAGGAAGAAGATTCAGATGCTCTGCAAACATTAACTAGCTGTCCACCCCCTGCAAGGCACTGTTAGATACTGCTGGAAAATGAGAAGAAAAGAGGTAGCGAAATGAGCGTCTGCAACTGGCCGTCTACTCGAAGATCGGGATGTATAGCACCCCTGCCAGCCAAATCTAACAACTGTAGGAAGTATACAGTAGGTACCAGGTGAGTGCCTGGGCTGTTGATGCTATGGAATGGAAGGGGAGGAGAGGAGTAGACCCCTCGGGTCCTGGCAGCTGGGAAGTCTAACTTAAGAACATAAAACTTGGACTTAAAGCTAGGACACCAAAGAGCCTATCCTGGGTAAAGAACTCTAATAGGGAAACACAGGAGGCCAAAGGGAATGGAAAATGCATTCCCTGGCTGAGACACTATTGGCACTTTCAAACCAGAGAAGACACGGTTTGAATAGGAATGAGAGATTTCCCAAGAGAACAGTTCCTTTGCCCTGTCTTGCTTACGCACAGGCTCAGCAGCCATGGCTCACGGGCCCAGCCGCTCCGCAGCATATGGGATCTTCCCGGACCGGGGCACAAATCCGTGTCCCCTGCATCGGCAGGCGGACTCTCAACCACTGCGCCACCAGGGAAGCCCTCCTCTGTCCTTTTTAAGCACATCCCAGTCTCCAGCCCTGGTCTAATTTGATGAGGCTGGCCAGTGTTATTTTGGGAGGAACAAGGGTTGGAAGAGCCTCCACAGCCAAATTCTTCTTGATGAAAGCATTTTCCTTCTCCGCTCTGTAATCCCCACCGCTGGCCCAAACCTCCAGGCCCCAAGGTTAAGGCCCCTGCGCTGCAGGTGCGGGGCGCACCTGGGAATGTCACAGCCCCTCCCAGGGCCTCCCAAATGGAGTCCCGATGATAAACACAGAAGAAGAGATCAAGCTCTGTGGAGCCAGCGCCGAACGCGTCTCTGAAGCCAGAGAATTTTGTTTCGCTACCCTCTGCTGAAGTAAAAACAGCTCCAAGAGTATTCCCTGGGGTGTGAGAGAGTGCTCTCATCACAGGGTTCAAAGACGCTGCGAGGCATGTAGCGTAGCTGAAAGTGTCTGTATGTAATAATGCCTTTATGATGTTGTTTTGTTTCTGGCTCGCCTTTACCTGAATTATCTGAAGACATTGTTTGAGGCAATGAAAAAATATGAATAACATTAGGCCTTGAGATCAAAAATCATTTTGTATTTCCATGGTTGTTAGCCGCCAATATCCCATGCATGGCTCTCAATTTCCAAAGCAGCAGTGAAATGCTGGAGAGACCAGGTGAGGGCTTTTTTTTTTTTCTTTTTCTCATTTTTATTTTTGTTATTATACGCTGGCCTTGATTTTTGAAGCTGTTGAAAGCTATTTGATATGGCAAAACTAATCACGGGAGGGAAACCACAATTTAAACACGTGAGATAAAAAGGAGCTATGCATACATGCATGACGAGATGTCCACCCGGCAGAACGAATTATTTACCACCTTCCAGGATGGCCCCATGTGCTCCGGCTACCCAGCATGCCTTGAGGGGAGATTCTGCCAAGAACCTGGGGCCGCTCTGACTGGAGACCTTTCCGCGCCAGGAGAGCACGCTTTGGTCCAACCCTTGAAATGACAAACAGGCCTTTTTGTCTCTTTTGCTCTTTACCACTCTGCTCACTCAATCCTGCCTTAGTGAAGAACTCAGTTTGAAGAACTAAGTAAGAAGTTTGATTTTTCTTTTTCTTTTTTTTTGCCCCTGTTACCTAATCTATGAACAGTGTCCAACTCATGTTCCAACAAGTAGATGAGGGCCAAGACCACAGCTGACAGACGTTCACCTCCGGCTGACCTGCTTTCAGGGCTCCAGGAGCCGCCATGTCTCACAGCTAAAACCGGATGTCCAACACCCGCCGCGATAAGGCTGTTCCAACCGGGGAAAACAGAGCATCTGTTTTCTCGCCTGGCTTTACCTCTAACTGGGTCCCAACTTTGGACAGGTCAGTCCACCTGCCAGCCCTCCATTTCTTTATGCCTTCGGAATTTTCCCAGTTAGTAAACCTCACGGTCAGAGGCCAAACGATGCCTCGGTCTTCACCGGCCATATTCCCAACCAGTTTCTGAGTCTCAGAGTGGTGGCCTCCAATGACCCTCTCCTTTTCCTTCTAGCTGCCCGTGTCCTCATTCCTTACCCATCTCCCAAACCCCAGTTTCTTCCCCTCTTCCCTCCTCTACTCCACCCTCATGCCACTTTCAGATTCACCACCATAAACACTTCTCTGATTCTGTCCTCATCCTGTTCAGAAGCCATCAGTGGTTCCCTGTCTCCCCTCTGTTAATGTCCGCCCGTCATTACCTGTCTGTCCCAGCATACCGTTTCATCCTTAATGCCCACTGTGCCCCTAAATTCACCCATACTCCAGCCAAACACACGTCATGCTTCTCACACACACTTGCTCGTGCTGATTCTCCTCCTGGAACACTCACTGCCCACCCTCAGCCCACCCTGACCCCGATCTCTGCCTATCAGATCTGTCTATTGGATTGACGGGTAAGAAGATGCGGCAGAACATTACTTGTGATTGTTCAGAAAATGGAAACAAACAGAATGTCTAATTGGACTGAAATGGTTAAATAAATTGTTGAACAGGCATGCGATGACTTCATAAACCTTAGTTTTGAAGAATATTTAATGATATGTGGACATTCATTATTGTTAGGTGAGTAGACATCTAAGGTATTCATTCCACATAAGCCCAATTTTGTGAACTTGGTATGTGTATACATATGTGTATGTGTGTGTGTGAACATATAGACATATATACATTAACATATATACACACACAGACAAAAGTCTAGAAGAAACACACCAAGATGGTGCTTCTGCTTTCTTCTGGATGCTGGGATTATGAGTATGTTAATTTTTCTTCTTTATGTTTTTTAGTATTTTCTATAATGAACGCGTATTGTTTGTGTCATTTAAAAGTACCATAAATAATCATTAGCTATGAAACAGTGAACAAAAGGAAACCTACCACTGCTCAAGTGTCATCTCAAACATTATCCTGTCCTCAGAGCCTTTCTGGATGGCATGCCTCACCCCCTGACCACTGACCTCTATCAGTTGGCTGTAACTTTTTCTCCATTGGAGCCCTTGCCATGGCACATGGCCCATTCTGCTTTGTACTGATGTCAACTCTGCATCACGCCTGCGTCTTCTCTCAGCCCAGGCACAAAGCTCGGCCTCCAGAAGTGCTCTCTACTTGAATTGGCCACACTCAGTCTCTGGGACTAAAAGGGTCAGTAGCTGGAGAGTCTACGTGTCTACAGCAGCCATCCTGGACATCTCAGCACATCTTCCTTTTTTGTAGTTCTGCAGGGAACTAGGTTGAAACGAAGTAGCTCAAATAGCTTTTATCTATTCATTTCTTCAGAAAAGAAAAGGAGGCCAGCTCCAACTCACCTCTGGTCTCTTCCTGTTAGCAAGTTCAGGAGACACTTGGCAGTATTGAGCCTGGAATACAAAGATGGCATTCAGGGTTTCCTCATGAGTGTTTGTCCCTAGAAACAAAGAACATCCTCATTCTTGAAAACCTAAGTAATAGATGTATAGCCAATACTCAAACTGTGCCTCCTGGTTCCTGAGCTAGAAAGCATCTGTCTGGTCTGGAATTTCACAGCGATCTCTAGTCAGCGGCTTTCCCAAGAGTTGTCATCAACTTGGACCTCAACCCAAAACTCTGAAGCATCAGAGGCTCAGCTGCGAGGACGGTCTCTTCGGGCCTCCTGTAGCCTTGCCACCAGGAACACTTCTGCAGCACCCATCATTTCTTTCTTCTTCACCAAGTTAGAGAAATGCAATTCTCTGATGTCTGTAGGAGGGACTGATAGAAATTACCCAGCTAGGTAGTGGTTCAAACACTCAGGGAGAGTGGGATACACTCCCTACTTTTGAGGAGAACCAATGTATGGAAGAAAGATTGAAGAGTTACCACAAACCAACCCCCAAGTGTGCCCAGCCCTCTCTGAGTCCTCTTCATCCTTCAAATCCCACTCAGGTCCCATCCCATTAAGGAAATCCTCACACCACCATCATAATCACTTCCTTCCCTGAATCCCCACAGCTGATTCAGTACCTACCTCATGAAGTTGTATATAAATCATTAACAATGTCAATAGAGCATCCAACGCAAAGATGAACATGCAGGAGGTACTCGATAATGATCCCTAATCAGCCATTATATAGTTTTTATTAGTGTGTATCTGTTCAACTTTATGTCAGCCCCTTGAAGATAGGAATCCTGTCTTCCTGTCTGCAGAAGTAAAGCTTGGCTAGTCATCTCTGTTGGGAAATAGATTGTTCTAGATCTCAGGAGTCTCCTGGGTGGCTGAGAGTTTAACTCTTTGAGGACGGCGCAAGGGTACTCCTAGAGGCTGCCGGTTCTGACCTCTGTCCTACCACCGCCCTCGAGTCGTGACACAGAGCAGAGTCTAGGTGGTGGAAGTTGGCATCTTCAGGGACCGCTGAGGTGCGCAAGGCTTTCCGCGTTCCCACCACAGGGCAATCCTGCATCTCTCCTTGCTTCCCTGACTTCGGCCTCCACTGTGTGACAGTCTGTTTCTTGTTCCCTCATCGTTACATCGAATCCCCCAACAGCCCCTGTAACTGCTTCTGATTGCTGCCACTCTCTGCCCACTTCATTCACTCTTTTCCCTTTGTCTCCTCTCACTGCCTTGGCTGTCATGTGACAATGTGTGACCTCCCCAGGCATCACCAGGTGTCCGTCTCAGTCCACAGCATCTGGGGTCCTCCCCGCTGGTGTCCACTGGTCACCACTGCCACCTTGGCCTTCTTCCCCAAGAAGCCTCCTTTTCCCATTACATCCAGGCCAGCTATCATTCTGGATGGTGACAATGAACCTCAAGGTAATAGAGGCTTCTCTCCTCCTTCTAAATGACCTCCCGTTTCTGGCAGAGAGTTAAAGATGTTCGATTTTCAATAAAAACTGGCTGCTTGATTCAGGGAAGTAGTTAGAGAACAAGAAATTACAAGCTCAGGGCTATGTTCGGTCTCAGCATGTAAAGGATGAGCGTGATCTGCAGAAACTTCCTGAAGCCACCCAAGGCTGTGCTGGGTTTTGAGGGGAATGGAAAGTTTTAGGTGAGTTAGTTTGATTTTTTGTAATTTCCTAAAGACATTTGACATCAGAAGTTTCTAGGGCTCCAGACGTCTTGGTCTCTATGGCATGACCCAGCGTAAGGCGAGACGTCGAGAGAACAGACACTGCCTGGTCCCACCGCCCTCTGCAGATAATTAACACAGCTCAGGAGTAAACAGATTCCTGCTTCCTACTCCGTCTACACAGCTCTCGTTGACGCTGACGTCTGGGACAGAGGGACTTTTTCCTCCTCAACCGAGGCACGTGGAGGTGACTGGGGAGAGGTGCACAGAAGATGAAAACACTGTCTGGAGAAGCAACACAGCGACACGCTCTGTGAACTTCCTCTGATTTGCAAATGCAATTTCTCCCACAGACAATGCAGGCAGCACCAAGCCCTGACTGAAGACACAACTCATGAAAGTCTCCAGGTCAGAGTCGGAAAAACCTCCCGCCACTGAAGGCAGAAGGCAGCCCTGGAAATAATGAACCACATTAACTAAGAAATCGCAAAAACCATCTCTATTAGACAGCTGTGCAGGTCAAAAGGCAACCAGACAGGAGACATCAAGAGGAAACTCAGGCTCCCCAGGATAATTGCAGTGCAATTAATACAGGGTGAGTCACCGGCCTTGTGGAAGTGGGATCCGCACGGCTAAGGGGAGCAGGCTCACAGACCAGTCCCCCAGTCTATCAGCAGCAATTCCCCTTCCTCACCATCTGTGGAGCCCAAGGAAACATCCTCAGGAAATAGGTCAATATGATGATGTCGCTATTAAAAAAATCAACTGCAGAGTCCACAAATATCAACACAGAAAGTGCATCCTCTAGAAACCTGGAAATGATTTCACAGCTGTCCATCCCAGCTCAAAGGCCTGTTGGGTGGCTGATAGCAACTCGAGGGGACAGACAGTAACCAAGAGAAGGCTGAGAAGAAAAAGGGAGGACAAGGTGAAATTGACATGCATCGTGCACCTACTGGGTGCTGGGTGCTGGGTATGGTGATTTCCTTCCCATTACCTTCTGAGCCAATTCTTACTATCCCCATATAGATGTGGAAACTGAGTCTCAGAGAAGCTAAAGAAAAGCAAACCAGGAGGAAAACACAAAGAAGCAGAGATAGAGGTTGAGGGTAGGGGGTGAGAAGAGAAAAAATATGAATCTATGAAAGGAAGGTCCACTACATTCTCCTCTCATCCCCCTTGGCCTTTTCCCCATTGGAATCCTGGACTGCACATGAGACAGAGGTCACTGTGCTATAAAAATACCCCAGGGCTCTTTCAAGAGCCACATTCAAGCCATAGGCAGGGTTGAACAATATCTCAGCCCTCCTTGAGCTCACAGCACACGCACCAAACCGGAGGGAGAAGGGCAGGGCTCAGAGTACAGTGGACATCCACCAGCTGTAGCGCATTACAAATGCAGGCTCTTGGGGCAGATTCTGCATCAGTAGGTGATTCTGAAGAAGGAAGTAACCACGAACTATGTTTTGGAAAACGCAATCATAGAAGTTTTAAGTCCTAGAATTTAAAGTACGCTGGTTGGTGTTATTAAGCTTTTCTCCCTCTTCCTCGAGGAGTACCTGTGGAGATGTGAGAACTTTCTGGGATGCAGAAGGGCAGAAGCAGCCTAGACAAGGGCCCTGGTTACCACTTCTCTCATCTCAATAGCCTTGTAGGAAAGCAAATTAGTCAGACTCTTTTAATCTCAGGCAGTGGTGTCCTGGAGCTGGCTGGTACCTGCTCACAAAAGTCAATTGTTAGATATTCAGAAATTTGCAAGCTGCTTGTTAAACCTTGGTAGCTTAAAATCTGCCACAGTGGGAGCATTTACACTGTGGTAATTGGTAATTTTTTTGGTAAACACAAAAAATCAAATCCTTTCTCTCTCTCTCTCTCTCTCTCTCTCTCTATCTCTCTCTCTCTCTCTCTTTCTTTTTCCCAGCACACCACTAGTTGCAAGTGGCAGAAACGCTACTCAAATGAGCTTCAGTAAGAAGGAATATTTATTTGTTGTTACAACTAGGAAGTCCAGGGATAGAATTGCCTTTAGCTATAGCTGGACCTAAAAGCTTAAAAGATACTGTTAAATCCTTGTTTCTTTCCCCATCTTTCAATTCTGCTTTTCTCCATGCTGTTTTTAATCTGCAGACAGAATTTCTCTAGGTGACAAGGAAGATGGCAACTTCCTGCCCCATATCCATATTCACCCAACTTTATAAAAACCCAAGGGAAAGGGATTATCCTCCTGTTGGCTCTACAGAGAAGTCCTGAGAGGATTCTGATTAGCTTTAGGTCACATGCCCATCCCTGAACCAATCACTAAGCCAGGGGAGAAGGAGGATTCTAATTGGCCAGCAAGGATCATGCATCCTACCCTGAGATGGGGAGGATGTAGCCATCATGGTTGACATTTGGGTTGTTTTTGTTTTAACTTAGAGCTTGGAGTTGGTATTTGACCAAGCCCTCTGACTTAGGTGAGACAATGGACAACAAGCCCTCCTGAAATTAAAGGTTTTCTCGGCCAATCCGTGCACTGGAAAGGTGGAAGGATTTAGGAAGTCAATGGAAATCAGGCAATGAAGAAAGTCCATGTAAAAGGACTTAATAATTGTCAAAGAAATCAGACAGGAAAATGGTAAGCATGGGGCATCAGAGCCAGACAGCCCTGGATAACATTAAGTACTACCACATGAGTTGTTACAAGGACCAGGACTACAGGAACAGGGTGAGGCAGATGCCCAACATGTTTTGAAAGCTCAGTAAATGGTAGCCACCAGTATTATTATTATTACCTCTATTTTGTGGCCTCTATTCCTCACCTATAAAAGGAAAATGATGACATGACCCACTTTGTGGGGTTACTATGAGCATATGAGACATTATAGTACAGGCCTGGCCTACTATAGCTACTCCATATAAGTTGTAACTATCCCTATCAGGTAGAAACATTATTTTGAAGGTTCCCTTGCTCCTGCCTCAGCTTCTTCTTTGAATCATCGAAATAAACACTTGACATTTTCCTTCCTTTCCTCTGAGCACGTCAAGAAATAGTCAAGGAATTAAGACAACCATTTTGTCTCCAAAAAGAACCTTCTGGAAATGTGTTTCTCCGGCAGGTTTTCCAGAACAGGTGGGTTTGGCTGAAGGGAAGTCAGATATTAGCAAATATTTTCTATCATGCTGATTTCCTGAGAAAACTGTACAAGTTACTGAAAGTTTAAAAAAAAAATCCTCCATCTCTCCAACTTCAAAAAAGGCATTGAAGGGAGTATCAGTGAAGTACACAAGATCTTTAGCAGAGTGGATAATATCAATGCATGTTGCTACTTTTGATATTGCCTCGATGACAGGAG